CAATTGTATATATGGTTATATGGTGGGGATCTCAACCATTTCCAAGTAATATTATTTTTTTGGCCCCACCCCTTAGTCCGGGGGTTCAGCCCCCCCATTTGTACAATTTTGAATCCCTGCCTCCCATGAATGCTTCCGACCAAATATGATCAATATCCATGGTATAGTTCTCGGAAGAAGTCGTTTGTAGCAATATAGCCAAATTGCTCCCTTTTGGCCCAGCCCACCAGCCCCCTGGGGGGTCAGCCCCACCATTTGTACAATTTTGAATCCCCAACACCTAGGAATGCTTCCAGTCAAATATGGTTGATATCTATCTCTTAGTTCCAGAGAAGAAGTCACTTAAAGTAATATAGCTAAATAACCCTTTTTGGCCCTGCCCCTCAGCCGCCACGGGCNCTCAACCATTTCCAAGTAATATTATTTTTTTGGCCCCACCCCTTAGTCCGGGGGTTCAGCCCCCCCATTTGTACAATTTTGAATCCCTGCCTCCCATGAATGCTTCCGACCAAATATGATCAATATCCATGGTATAGTTCTCGGAAGAAGTCGTTTGTAGCAATATAGCCAAATTGCTCCCTTTTGGCCCAGCCCACCAGCCCCCTGGGGGGTCAGCCCCACCATTTGTACAATTTTGAATCCCCAACACCTAGGAATGCTTCCAGTCAAATATGGTTGATATCTATCTCTTAGTTCCAGAGAAGAAGTCACTTAAAGTAATATAGCTAAATAACCCTTTTTGGCCCTGCCCCTCAGCCGCCACGGGCGTCAGCCACACCATTTGTACAATTTTGAATCCCTGCCTGCCATGAATGCTTCTGATTAAATATGATTGATATCCAGTGCATAGTTCTACAGAAGAAGTCGTTTGTAGCAATATAGCCAAAATGCCCCCTTTTGGCCCCGCCCCTCAACCCCATGGGGGAACAGCCCAACCATTTGTACAAGTTTGAATCCACACCACCTAGGGATGCTTCCAGTCAAATATGGTTGATATCCATCTCTTAGTTCCAGAGGAGATGTCGCTTAAAGCAATATAGCCAAATTGCCCCCCTTTTGCCCCGCCCCTCAGCCCCCTGGGGGGTCAGCCCCACCATTTGTACAATTTTGAATCCCCACCACCTAGGGATGCTTCCAGTTAAATTTAGTCAAATTCCAATCAGTGGTTCAGAAGAAGAAGTTGTTTAAAGAAATTGTTGACGGACGGACGACGGACGCTACCGTATGGCATAAGCTCACCTTGGTCCTTCGATTCGGACCCGGTGAGCTAAAAATACTAGCAATGCATTTTCAACATCAACAAGTATCAAGCTGCAGTCTGTTCACAGTAATGGTCAATTGATTCTAAACAGGGGTGAACAAGGGGAAATAACTCCCATATCACTAACGTCACCAGTGACCAAGCTGGCAGAATGTCAGCGTTTACGTAGCAGTGACTCGATGAATCTTGCAATACACATTACATTCCTGCTAAACCTTTTTGGTAATATATTTACATTTGTGTTACATGCTCCCTTTACCAATTAAAATAAATAAATATATATAAATATTAGTCACCTACATACACATTCAATTGTATGCACATGGGATGGTCTACCAACAAAACCACACCACTTATTATAATTTTAGAACAATCACATTGTTACATACATTTCTCTCCAACTGTCTTTAATTACCTTACCAACTGCATTATGTTTTTTTGGCTTAAACATACTTATACTATCATCTGCAAGGAGTTTAAATGATTTTGTTCTATAGAATAGAACTTATATATAGTTTAAGTATAAATCTAAGGATATTCCAGGGATGCCACATGGTAATTTTAACTCAGTTTTTCACATCAAAAGGCGAAGAAAGAAAACAACACCATTGACAACCTCCAGAGTTGTGTAGAAGGAAAAACCAAGATTTTGATACAAATTATGGAAAATTGAGACTTTTTTTTATCCAAATAGAAACCATGTACATGTACATATATAATAATTAGAAGAAAAATACTCCAAAAAATCAAGGAGAACATCTAGTTTCAAGGTCATTTCAAACTATCCTTAAAAACTTAATCAATTTTTCAAGCTTGTACTTTGGAAAGTTTACCACTTTCCTAACCTCAGAACACTTGAATGATAATAAAACATAGAAATGTATATTTTTACAAGCACAAAATTTTACCTGTCACCAATTTTTTCAATGTTTTGAAAGTCAACTACCTTTTCCCTTGTCTTGCAGCACGTTTCCCTTTTTATATTCAAACTACCCTCTTAACTTTTAAAATAGTGAAGTTATGTATTTAAGAGGTATTTGTTGTCAGTATTATTTTTGACATTTTCAAGATTAAAAAAATCTTTTCTTTATCCTATGAAAAACTTACCTTCACACCTTTAAGACATCCTCCTTACTTTAAACAAGAGGCCCATGGGCCTTAACGGTCACCTGAGTCCTAAAGTATTTATTTTTGTTGTTGAAATATGTACCAATTTGAGTAAAAAATAGTTAAGTATAACGTTAACTTAAGTTTGTCAGGACCATGAGCTGATCATTCCTAGAGAGAGTTTCAGTAAAATCGGCCTATTAGAACTTGTTTTTAATTTTGAAATAGTTATTTTCAAAATAACGGCCGTGGCAGCCATATTGGATTTCTGATCGGACTCAAAAAATAACAACACTTTGTCAGGACCATGAGTCGATCATTCCTATTAAGTTTCAGTTCAATCGGCCTAGCAGAACTTGACTTTAAGTCTGAAATAGTTTTTCAAGATGGCGGCCGTGGCGGCCATATTGGATTTCTGATCAACCCGAAAAATAACAACACTTGATCAGGGAGATGTCAGTAACCTTCCCATGAAATATTAATGAAATCCCTTTGCCAGTATTTTAGCTTATGTTGAAAATGTAAAATGTTAACGAACGACGCACGACTGACGAAGACGAATAGCAATAGGTCACTTGAGCTAAAGCTCAGGTGACCTAAAAAAAAAATGGTAAATTGTTTTCATTAAGAGGCTTTCTCAGTCTCTTCCTTTTAAGTTAATATTAAATTTTCATTTTACTCTCATCAATATTTTGACTCCTCTTTTTCTGCGCCTTTTCTTTCATTAATGAGGTCAGCTTTCTCCTTGTCGTGACTATTTATCGGTTATTTTGGGTCTTGAATTTCATTTGAAATCTTATATGGGTCACTACTGCTGTCACCGCCCTCCAGACAACCGTCAAAGTAGAGCTTATGGATGATGCTGCTTCTATCGACACAAGAGTGACAGCTTGAACAAGTGCTGGAGGTGGCAAGCCACTAAAACAGACACTCTTCGTGAAAGGTGTGACCACATGGAGTGACTGAAATACTGATGTTGGCATCATTAAGGAATAAATCCAAACAGATACAGTGGAGGGCCTTCATTGTTTCAGAAATACAGATTCTGGCAGTCATATTTTTTTCCAATCCAGTATTTTGAAGCTAAAAATAAAATCTGGGAAGCTAGTGAACCTGAAGAAACTACTAACAAAACTTGGGAAAGATTTGTACTTCTGTATCAGGTAGCTTGGTTGCATCCCGCGTAGCTCTCATCTTCTTTTGTACCATAAATATAAACTTCATTTTTGGCCTAATGGATTCACCTTTAGTGTGTTTTTACTAAAATCCGTCTGCGGGAATAAATAACCTTAAAAATAACTTTGTTGAGCTATTTACTGATCCATTTTATTCAAATTATGTTATAAGTATCAGTGCCATATTGTTAATTGGCCACAATGTAATAAGCACCTGTGCTTGTAGGTAAACACATCTATACAGACCAAAATATGAAAACGATGCAATGCATTATACAATATGTTCACTAAGAGCACATAATAGATCATAAAACTATTGTTCGCTTAGTCCACAAATAAAATAAAATTTTCACCAACTGCACAAATTAACTGTGCATTAAAGTGCACACAATTTCAAATGCATTATAATGTTCAAGAAGTGCACATTATNTTTTCCCTGTGATCTTGTAAGTAGGTCAATGTCATTTTCCTTCTCAAATTGGTTAGCTCTATTCCAAAAAGCTACCAGCCAAATCTTATGAATCCATTCCTTTTAGTTCTCAAGAACAAATCCATTAAAATGTTGTTGACCTCTGTGACCTCTAAAGTAGGTTGAGGTCATTTTCATTTGCAAACTTTGGTGAGCTCTATCCCGGGAAGTCACCAGCCAAATATTATAATTTTATGCCTTTTAATTCTTCAGAAGAAGCTGTTTGAACTGTTTGACATATTTGAACGCTGTGACCTTGAAAGTAGGTCAAGGTCATTTTCATTCGCAAACTTTGTTTGGCTCTTTCCCAGGAAGCCACCTGCCAAATATTAATATTTTATAACTACCAGTTCTTCAGAAGAAGTCGTTTAAAGTGTTCGACATATCTGCCTCATGTGACCTTAAAAGAAATTCAATGTCATTTTCATTCTCAAACTTTGTTCAGCTCTTTCCTTGGAAGCTACAAGCCAAATATTGAGATTATATACCTTTCAGTTCTTCAGAAGAAGTCGTTTGAAGTGTTTGACACATTTGACCCCTGTGACCTTGAAAGCAGGTCAAGGTCATTTTCATTCTCAAACTTTGTTGGCCTCTATCCCAGGAAGCCATCAGCCAAATATGAAGATTCTATACCTTTTAGTTCTTTAGAAGAAGTCGTTTGAAGTTTTTGACATATTTGACCCCTGTGACTTTGAAAACAGGTCAAGGTCATTTTCGTTCTCAAACTTTGTAGGGCTTCTATCAACGAAGCTTTCAGCCAAATATCATGACTCTAGACCTGTCTGTTCTTCAGAAGAAGTTGTTTAAAGGAAAAGTTGACGGACGAGGACGGACAGACGGACGGACGACGGACGCCGCGCCACGGCATAAGCTCACTTGGCACGAAGTGCCAGGTGAGCTAATGAATCAATGCTCACTTAGTGCACAGATACAGTTAAATCTTCACTAAGTGCACAAATGAACTTGTCAAAAAATGCATACCATTACAAAATTAATACATTTTTATTTTTAGAAGTGCACAAAATGAAAAAACAAGCGAATGCTCACCAAGTCCACAAATACAGTTAATTCTCTCAACAAAATGAACTGTTCATAAGTGCACACAATTTCAAATACAATTTATCGTTTATGAAGTGCACATCATAAAAAATTAAACTACATGCTCACTAAGTGAACAAATACAATTAACTGTTCACCAGTAGCACATGATGACAAACACAGTTATATTTTAACAAAGTGCACAATTGCAATTAACAACTGTCCATAAAGTGCACTCGAAAATATGCAGTTAAATGTTCACCAAATGCATGTAATGACAAATACCAGGAAATGTTCACCAAGCACAAAATATGTAAAATTCAGAGACACAATTCCAAATTCCAAATCGGAGAAGAATAAAAATGTCTGGGCTGTTCAATAGAATATAACAGTGTGGAGAATGGGCCGGGCTGCTTTCGGTTCAAACTCTAGAATAATTTCATCCACATCATCATCGAGGTCATCTGCATCTGCCAACTAAAAACCAAAACAATTAATTGAATTTTTAATACAATTTTGAATAGAGGACATCAAATCTGTGATAGCTTATGAGTTACAATCGTGAGCCGACTATCTTAACTCAATCATAAACATAGTTTGTGGATAAAGCAGTTGTTAAAATTACAGGTCACACAGTATTACTGTATTTATCCAGCAGTTAGCCCATGCCTGGCAATAACATCCCCTCTCCAAAATACACCCCCCCCCCCTCTCCCCCAAGGCTTCTTAATTCAGAGGATAAATATGGTAAAGCAAACTTTTTAATTGGTGACACCACTAAAATTTGAATAATAAAAGGATTTGTATAACTGACCCTCTACTGTATATCTGTTCATGCTAGTTAATTTTCAAGTATAACCTACTTGGTTATAATAAAGATTTAACTCGAATTGATATAAACTCAAATCAGTGATCACCAGGCAGATCTTTTATTTAAAAAAAACCCCCACCTGAAATGGACATTGTGACATGATGCAGCATGACATTTCACATTGTGAAATCATTCAGACTTCTGCAACAGTAATTATCTCCCCTAACAATAAATGTTTCATGGTAACGATAGGATAAAAAACATCAAACTTATTGTGAATCAACAATAGATGTATAATTTAATGCCGATAGAAAACACTTAAAATGTTTGATTTACAGAACAGAGATCTGACTTGAAGGCAGTACTTCAAGCACACGATCGCAATTTTAAGATATTACTCTTACATGACTTTATGAAATTTCAAAGGTATAATTTCAGGTGTAAAACCTGACAGACCAGTAAATGTTATTGCAGACCTTGAAAGTCTTGCCAGAAAACAACATCAAATCATTAGATCTGTCTCTATCTTGTAAACGAACAACTCTAGTCAAACTGGTCCAAACGGTTTGGACTGCGATAAATGAAAATGGCCCAAGATGTCAGGAGGAAGTTTTTCTGAACATAGTAAAATATGATACCAAATTTTGCATAATAGTGGTTCAATACAAAATTAATGAAATAGAAAAATCTAGCATTGGTTTTCTTGTGAGATTTCCTTTTCTAAGACAGAACTATTTCCTGGACTTAACTCACCAAGCGTGCCAGCTCACAAATCAGGGCGGCACCTACAGTGGCCTCCTCGTGGTTATCCTGTATATCAAGGTTGATGATATGCACCGGCTCCATTTCATCCTTCGAACGACTCTCCAAATCTGTACAACAGCAAAACGTTAAAACGTTTACCTGATGAGTATTTGGAACCGTAGCTTCTTGGCCAGATTTTTTTAATCGGACAATTGAACCTAGAGGCTATGGTTCCTGTAGCTATACCCGAGGTCACATTAAGACAACAATATCTACAGATGAGAATCCCTAATGTTCAGTATCTGGTACTTTTGGTACCTAAAATGTTTTTTGTAAAGAGTAGAAAATGCAGAAGAATCTTAAAACATAAAATCAGCAACACTTAGAACTTATCATAGTATGCATTACCGATACCTTTTCTGAAGAGATTAACGCATACAAAAATTGGCAAATATAGATGACAGGGTATGAGATTTGTCCCTGACAAAGTGATACACGGATGGACATGAGCTTCCCAATCATTAATGATTGAATTGATCCACACTAGACTTATCATTGACGATGCGGTCAAAGAGGTGTTGCAATGATGTTGATTTACCCTAGCCTTCCAATCCATCATTTGGTCCTAAACACACTCCTCACACATTACAAAAATGTTGATAAAAGCTAGACTTACCGTCGATCATGTGGTTGTACACACGCCCCTCACATGTTATAAAGATGTTGATGTACATGACTTACCGTCGATCATGTGGTTGTACACATGTTCCACACACGTTATAAAGATGTTGATGTACATGATTTACCCTCGATCATGTGGTTGTACACACGCCCCTCACATGTTATAAAGATGTTGATGTACATGATTTACCCTCGATCATGGGGTTGTACACATGCTCCACACACGCTATAAAGATGTTGATGTACATGATTTACCCTCGATCATGTGGTTGTACACATGCTCCACACACATTATAAAGATGTTGATGTACATGACTTACCCTCGATCATGTGGTTGTACACATGCTCCACACATGCTAAAAAAATATTGATGAAGCTAGACTTACCCTCGATCACTTGGTCATACACACGCTCCTCACACGTTAAAATGATGTTGAATCTCTCAGAGCTTGATTGGAACCTCTCTGGCTTTGGCTTGATTCGTCTGTTTCTATCCAACATATTTAGGATTCCATTTTGCGTATATCTGATCATCAGAGTTAAGGATAAATGGGAAAAGGAAATGCAAACAAATATAACCTCAATTGATATTCGTTAAATACAATTACTGAGTCATCAAAACTAGCCTTCAGCTACCTCTTGATGCAAGTTAATTGCAAATCTAAAGTATTTATTAATACCCGCTATCCCTGATATTGCATGCCAACATGATAAATGGTGGCCCACAAAATTACCCCTGGTGGCGCACATCAACATTACCCCTGGTGGCGCACATCAACATTACCCCTGGTGGTGCACATTAACATTAATCCTGATGGCATGCATCATTAACCCTGATGGCTAACAAGTAAGTTCCTGGTGGCACAAATCAGCCTTATTTCTGATGAAATATCTGCAGTGTAAAAAGATCATTAAGGTCAGTGGTACATAACTATTGACTTCTGTATCTGTGAGCTTATGAGTATGATGCGACCTTTTACGTAAATTATGGTTATAATTGCTTATGTTGACTTTTGTATATGATAAAGGAATGTGTTTATGAATCAGCTGTTTGACCTCTGTGACAACAGGAAGAAAAGATGTGACCTGTGAAATAAGTTTAACTAATTTAGTGTTAGTGAATTGCTTCCATAGATAATATATGTGACCACTATGCATTAAGAGTAATTGTGTATAACCACTTGTATTAGGGCGACCTCTGATTTCGCATGTCAATATGTGACCTGTGTTATGAGAATGGTTAACCTCAAAGTTCTGTTTGAGTGACATCTGTGCATTAGCATTAAAATGTAACCTGTGTTTTGGTTAACGTGTTAAGTCTGTGTATTAGTATAAATGTGTTGTACATACACGGTTTATGTATGTCAGTCTATGTAGCTATTCAATGCACATTGTATTAGGGTCAATGAGTGACCTCTCTGTAGAAGGGTCATTGTTTGGCCTTTATGTATTAAGGTCAATGATTGACCTCCGTGGATTAAGGTCAATGTTTGGCCGCTATGTATTGAGGTCAATGTTTGGCCTCTATGTAGTAAGGTCAATGTGTGACCTCTCAGTATTAAGATCAATGTTTGACCTCTGGGTATTAAGGTAAAAGCGTGACCTGTGTATTGGGGTCAATGTGTGACCTCTATGTATTAGGGTCAATGCATGACCTGTGTATTAGGATCATTGTGTGACCTCTATGTATTATGATCAATATGTGACCTCTATGTATTAAGGTCAATGTGTGACCTCTATGTATTAGGGTCAATGTGTGACCTCTATGTATTGGAGTCAATGTGTGACCTCTATGTATTGGAGTCATTGTGTGACCTCTATGTATTAGGGTTGATGTGTGACCTCTATGTATTAGGGTCAATGTGTGACCACTTTGTATATGGGTGGATTGTGACCTCCATATATAAAGTGTCGATATGTGACCTCTATGTATTAGTGTCAATATGTTACCTTGGTATTAATATGCTACCTCTATGTCTTAAGTGTTAGTATATAACCTCACTGTATATGTGTCATCCGTGATAGGTCAATGTTTGACCTCTATATGTGAGGGTCGATGACTTAATCAGATGTAAATGGGAGACGTGTATATGAGGTCAACTGACTGACCATTACCAACTTGGTGTCTGTGACTTTGTGCATTATGACAAATTGGTGTTTTGATTTTGTGTAGTGTATGCGTGCATGTATGTGTGCTGGAGGCCTAGGTGTTTGTACGACTAGTTTCAAAAGATGACCTTCATTTAAAGTTGATAGATTACCATGAGCATATTAAGGGTCAATTTGTGTAATCTCAGTGTATCTATATATCAATGCATATTTCAGAAAAAATTGTGAAATGTAAGGGTTAGGCCCAGTGCATGATCTCCATGTAAAAGGAAAACGTGTTTTATCTAATATGCATATTGAGGAAATTGCTGACCTGTGCAGTCTGCATCGATAGGTGACTTGTGTATGTGTCACTTGTTGTTCTATGCATGTCATCTGACTTGTTTGAATGCAAAGTGTCAAAGGGGTGACCTGTGAATATGTTAATAGGCTACCGGTGTGTAGATTAATGGGTTACCTTTGTTTGTGTCAATGTGTGACCTGTGTATGTGTTAAAGTGTGACCTGTGAATAATTATGTTAATGGGTGACCGGTGTATGTGTTAATGGATGACCTGTGTATGTGTTACTGGGTGACCTGTGTATATGTTAATGGGTGATCGGTGTGTGTGTTAATGGGTGACCTATGAATATGTTAATGGGTGACCGGTGTATGTGTTAATGGATGACCTGTGTATGTGTTACTGGGTGACCTGTGTATATGTTAATGGGTGATCGGTGTGTGTGTGTGTTAATGGGTGACCTGTGTATGTGTTACAGGTTACCTTTGTTATGTTAATGGGTGACCTATGAATATGTTAATGGGTGATCGGTGTGTGTGTGTGTTAATGGGTGACCTGTGAATATGTTAATGGGTTACCTTTGTATGTGTTAATGGGTGACCCATGAATATGTTAATGGGTGATCGGTGTATGTGTGTTAATGGGTGACCTGTAAATATGTTAATGGGTTACCTTTGTATGTGTTAATGGGTGACCTATGAATATGTTAATGGGTGATCGGTGTATGTGTTAATGGGTGACTTATGAATATGTTAATGGGTGATCGGTGTATCTGTTAATGGGTGACTTATGAATATGTCAATGGGTGATCGGTATGTGTGTTAATGGGTGACCTGTGAATATGTTAATGGGTTACCTTTGTATGTGTTAATGGGTGACCTATGAATATGTTAATGGGTGATCGGTGTATGTGTTAATGGGTGACTTATGAATATGTTAATGGGTGATTTGTGTATGTGTTAATGGGAGACCTATGAATATGTCAATGGGTGACCTGTGAATATGTTAATGGGTGACATGTACATATTTCAATGGGCGACCCCTGTATGCTAATGGGTTACCTGTGTATGTGTGAATTAGTGACTTGTGAATATGTCAATGGGTGACCTGTGAATACGTTAATGGATGACATGTAAAAATTTCATTGGGTGACCTCTGCATGTTATGGGTTACCTGTGTTTGTGTCAATGGGTGACCTGTGAATATGTTAATGGGCGACCCGTTAATCTTTTAATGGGTGACCTGTGAATATGTTGATGGGTGATTGCTGTATATGTAAAGGGGTGACCTGTGAATATGTTAAATGATGACCTTTGTATGTGGCAATGGGTGACCTGTTTAAATGTTAATAGGTGACCTATGAATATGTTAATGGGTGACCTGTGTATGTGTTAATGGGTGACCCCTGTACGTTAATGAGTTACCTGTGTATGGGTAAATGGGTGTTCTGTAAATATGTTAATGGGAGACCTATTAAATATTTTAATGGGTGACCTGTTCAATACTTGAATGGGTGACCCGTTTGTTAATTGGTTACCTGTGTATGTGTCAATGGGTGACCTGTAAATATTTTAATGGGTGACCTGTGTGTCTGTCGATGGGTGACCTGTGAATATGTTAATGGGCGAGTGTGTACGTGTCAACAGGTAACCTGTGAACATGTTAATGGGCGACCAGTGTACGTGTCAATGGGTGACCTGTGAATATGTTAATGGGTGACCTGTGTATGTGTCAATGGGTGACCTGTGAATATGTTAATGGGTGACCTGTGTATGTGTCAATGGGTGACCTGTGAATATGTTAATGGGTGACCAGTGTACGTGTCAATGGGTGACCTGTGAATATGTTAATGGGTGACCTGTGTATGTGTCAATGGGTGACCTGTGAATATGTTAATGGGTGACCTGTGTATGTGTCAATGGGTGACCTGTGAATATGTTAATGGGTGACCAGTGTACGTGTCAATGGGTGACCTGTGAATATGTGAATGGGTGACCTGTGTATGTGTCAATGGGTAACCTGTGTATGTGTCAACGGGTAACCTGTGTGTATGAATCAATAACCTGTGTACGTGTTTATAGGTTGCATGTGTCAATTGGGTGACCTGTGTATTGGTCAACAGGTGATATGTGTGTGTCAATTGGTGACATGTGTTTGTGTAAATATTTCACCTGTGTCAGGGATTCAACTCCTTTATGACGTCTGTATGTCGGGATAGTTCTGTGAATAAGTGTCAATATGTGACCGATATATCTTTCTCCCTTTGACCACAATGGAAAATGTCAACATTTGTACAAATGTCAACTTGCAAGACTTCTTTATCAATTTCAATGTGTAACCTCTGTATGTTTGTGAAAATTTGGTGAAATCTGTATGATTGACTGTGCGCGTCAATATGCGTCTATGTACGAGTGTCAGTGTTTTAGTAAATGTTACTTTGCGTTCATTCTTGAACTCTGTTTATAAGTGAAAATGGGTAATCTCAAGGGATTAGAACCAAATGGTGAATTTTAAATGCTGCCAGAACTTAAAAATATGTGTCAATTTAAAACGTCATAATAAGTGTCAATGTGCGACATGTGAAACCTCTATAATAGTGTCAATATGTGAAACCTCTAAAGTAGTGTCAATTACTAAATTGTGAAAGCTCTAGTGTCCATGTGTGACTTGTAAAACCTTGATTAAGTATCAATGTGACATGTTAAGTCTAACAATTCATGTAAATGTGACATGTCAAACCTCTAAATTAGTGACTTGTGAAACCTCTTAATAGGTGTCAATTTGTGGTACGTGAAATCCCGAAATTGGTGAATATGTGCGTCATGCAAAACCTTGTAACTAGTGTCATTATGTGAAATCTCTAAATTAGTGTCAATGTTTAAAAGATGAAACCTCTAAATTAGTGTCAATGCGACATGTGAAACCTTTTTATGAAAGACAATGTGCAACTTGTGAAACTTCTAAATCAGTGACAATGTGCAATATGTCACACCTCTGAATTAGTGTAAATGTGTGACTTCAGAAACCTCTAAACAAGTGCCAAAGTGCAACTTGTTAAACTTCTAAATAAATTTCATTGTGCGACTTGTGAAATCTTTGAATTTGTCATTTTGTGACATGTGAAACCTAAATAAATG